CCCAGACTGAACCCCCCCAGTTCCCCCAGCCGCTCCCCAGCAGACCTGTGCTCCAGACCCTGCCCCAGCTCCGTTGCCCTTCTCTGCCCACGCTCGAGTCACTCAATGGCCTTTTTGGGGTGAGGGGCCCAGAACTGAACCCCCTCAGCGAGGGGCGGCCTCCCCAGTGCCGAGCCCAGGGCTCAGATCCCTTCCCTGTCCCTGCTGGCCACGCCAGTGCTGACACAAGCCAGGATGCCATTGGCTGCCTTGGCCACCTGGGCACACTGCTCTCCTTCCAACTTTCGGATTGTAAACCCACGCTAATCTCCTACCATCACATTCTTTTACAGAGACTCTTCCTGTTTCCCAACCAGTGGCTTTTCTGCAGGCTTAAACCACAGCAGGACAGTTTGTTTTGAAGTGGATACCAAGAGTCATTCAATACTTGTAGTTCCTGGGCTCCTTAAGCAAGGTTTCTGCAGAGTGGAGTCCACCACTCGGAAGAGGAACCCTCTGTTTCATTAGTAAACTCACTTGACAAACACTCTTCTCTCCCTGGATTCAGTCTTACCTGCAACTGACCCAACACTTGCTGCAGATCGCGAATCACCTCTACGTTCTCTTTTAGTTCCTCATCTTCCACAGTCTCTACCAGCTTCTGCAGATCAAGCTTGCACCTACATTGCAGACATGGGAATAAACCCACGATTAGGTGCCATGTTTGTGTCACGCACGCCAGTAAGGAAACACTTCCCTCACTGAACACACAAATGAGTTCTGGATGAACAGACACAAATTAACTGTACCCAGTTCATCCCCACGAAACCATTTCATGCTGGAAGACATTTCCTCAGCAGGAGTAGGGTGGGGAAACAGACTTACACAGCATGCTGCTGAAGTTGCTCTAGTTTGGCATTCATCTTCTCATTTTCTTGTTCTGTCTAAGAGAAGTCAGAATTGTACTCAATTGTAGGAAAAGCAAGATAAGAAGAAAATGGCTAATTCCTTCGCAGCAAAATTACGTTGTCAGTCTGTGGCAAATCAACGTACTGAAAGATCCTGCATGATCGCCACCACCGGTTTGTTTAGACTTCACAATCTTTTTTTCACAGGAATATATACTGCAGTGAATTGGAACAAAGCAGAATGGGGTGGAGAAGAGGGAAGAGAGCACATGCGCAAGTGCTGCTATTTAAAACATTAAAGCAACATAAAAGCTGAAAGATTCAGGCCTGCTTTTCTCCACTGAAACCAGCCGATCTATAGGCTCTGGAAGACTTTTGGTTGTGACTGATAGCTAAAGATTTGAAATAAATGTGAAAGGAACTTTAAGGAGAGAGAGTCCCAGCATGCCACTACTGCAGGAGCTGCACTGATTAATCTTGAGCTAAAAGGGGAAGTCATGCAACTTAGAACTCTTCTTGGGTAACTAAACCTTACCAGAATGATCCTCTCCAACATCTGTGCTGTCTGACCAGCAGCCTCACTAAGTCCTTGGCTGAGCTTTTGGTTCTCCTCCATTAGTGACTGGTTCTTCTCCATCAGGGACTGAAGATTCTCTGAAGGTGCCATGCTACGGAAACATTAAGGACCAGTTTGCTTGTGAGCATGACTTCCTAGAGGTTTGCAACAGCACTGAAGTTACCTCCAGGTTTCCTAAATCACTTACAATAAATATAGGCTGTAGCAGGCGCAACAGAAGTAACTGGAGGAAGTCTAATCTGGATTCAAAAGTTTAAGTAATACAGCATGCCAAACATTTTCAAAAGAAAACACTTTTGAAACAGCAGTGCTGCTCAACAAATGGCACGTCTGTAAACTGCATGTCCTTGAGATCTGAAACATCCTCAGAAGACAAGGCCTGCAAAATCCAACTCTTCCCTGCATTTTGTGCTTTTAACAATGGAGTTGCCCTATATTTAGAGGTAGAAGAGAGGAAGAAAAAGGGATAGCTACGTCTGAGAAACAGATACTTAGGGGACATTGCCTAGTTCCTCTCATATTTCCTACAATGGATTGTTGCAATATTAAGGGATTTGCTACAAAACTAGATGACCCATACATGCATCAAATGTCAGTAAGCATGACAAAAAGAACAAAAAGGAGAAAACAAATGTCCAGATCCTACTGAAAGCAACCAGCTTGCTCTACCCTCACTTTACAGCACTGTCCAGAGCAAAGGAGATCTAGAGCCTTTGCTGGTGTGTGATGGCTGTCAGTTACATCAGCATTAATCTATAAAGCTTACTTGATAGTCACTGGGAGGGTCCCTCCATGGGCCTGCAGCAGTAACACCTGTAGCTGTTGTACCTAGAAAGACAATTGCTAGTTGTAAACCTCTCCCATATAGTAAATAGATGGCTCAAGGAACACGGTTAACATTTAGTCTTGAAGAGTCACCTGTCAACTGTCTGTTTACCATTGCCTGTGGAAACAGATGATTGCTACAGTATTTTATCAAGTCATTTACTCCTAAAAAAAAGAAAAAAAGCTACTTTGTCAGGAACGCTCAGATGGGAGCACGTTACATCACCCCCAGACAGCAGACACACTGCTCCGGGCAGGCTGTCGGAGGCCCTGCTGATCCAAAGAGCAGGTCTCCCACTTTGCTGAACCAATGCTCTGCTGCTACATGAGATAAAGAGTCAGATCACTTGCCTTCCCAAGCTGTTTGAATACGTGACTTGAATTTACAGTGCGTTACTAAACATTCCCGAGGCTCTGGTGAACACTCTCGTGCAGCAAGTGATCCATTGGGGAACAAGATTGGAGAGGTAGCACGGAACTGTGGCATAGGCACACAGTCAAGCAGGCACAGCAAACCTGGTTCACTCACATTGGTAGACAAGCCCTGGGGCACTTCCAGCTTCGGGTTTAACCAATTCTAGCTTATGCAACTTATTTCCCTCTGAAGCTGCCCACACAGGAACACTCTCCACTCCCCACTCTGTGCTGGACACAGGCAGATGATGTCAGCGAGGCAACCACCACTGTATTTCTGATTTTGCCTGTAGCCTAACAGCCAGGCGATGATTTGTTCAGCAGAAGGGACATGTAAATCACACTAACACTACTATTTTTCTACAGCATTGAATAGTTGCTCTAGAATTACAAGAAATATTCAGGTATTCCCTTTACAGCACTTATACAGCCATTTCAAAAGCCAGAAAAAACACATACTAAATATTTTTTTCACATTTGGTGTGACTAGGCACCCTACGTCTCTACTTGTTGTTCACTGAGCTTAGTACCAAAAGGACAGATCGACTCCTCTCACACAAAGGAAGCACCCAATACCTGCTGCTTTAGATGATGCAACTCAGCTGCCTGGGGATCAAGGTTGACAATTGGTTTATTTTTTATTTTTCTTGCTCTGTCAGCATAACGCAAAGTATTTAGAGTTTCTTCTAGATTGGAATCCGCTGGGCTTACACAGGCAATCATGAGAGTGTGGCTGTTACCACCCAGAGAATCTGAGAAGGAAAACAAGGCATCATCAAAGCTCAAAGACCAACCAGTACGGATCATCACTAAGATATCCCACACCACACAAGTGCGGCTCCCTACTACAGCTCCAAGATATCCTGCTGTACCTTTGTGTCATTGTCACCTCCTTTCTCCTCTGACCCAGTCAGTACTAAAGAGCTTTTTTGAAAGCTGAAGTCCCAAAAGCTACATCTCAGCTCTACACACCAATGATTTCACATCAGAAGCCCCGAGTAATATTGTTGTCCTGTTAAGTAATTTCTGTAATTGCTGCTATTTCTGTATGATGTTTCTGGCACAGTTCTTTTAGGTTTTCCCCTCCCTTCTCCCACGCATTAGTGAAGACCTCCATGGATATCCAGACATCAGAATTCACATCATCTTCCAATTTAAAGAATTATTGACCAAGAACATTATTTGTTCCAATCATCAAGCTGCATGGCGTTTTATTTTTTAGTTTTACACTAACACATATTGGATACTTAAAAGCTTTTCATCAGAAAAGGGCCCCATAACCAGCTCTGCATAATCCAGTGTCTTTTTATTAAGATACTTTCAGATAGGGAAAACACTTGAAGATTAAGTTTTTCTACCAAATTATTTAACTACCAAGAAAATCCCAGTAAATCACAATAAAATAGCTATGCTCGCCTTAAGGGCTAACTCAGAATATATTAAAAGACCTTGCAACTATTGAAGAATAAGTACCATGAAGACCAGATATTCAGACTAAAAAACCAAAACAAACGAGGCGCACAGTGAAGGCAGAGGGAGCTTGAGCTTCTGGTTGCTATATCCTCCAGTAAGGAGCTATAATTAAGGTGTAATAATAGATGTCTGCTTCCAGACTTATCTTCCTTCTCCCCACCAAAAAATTGCACTGAATTTGTCTGGTTTTCTCCTATCACATGGAAACTGCAAAAGAGCAGGACTCCTCCTAAATGAATCCATCTCAATGCATTTGCAACCTAAAAATAAGAGTACAGAAGCGGTCTGGCTTCGGTGAGAAGAGGAATGAAACCACTAAATGCAATCCCTTTATCCACGGCAGCTACTGCTTTGAACTGTGGATGTATGGCTGAGGGCTTTTCTGCTACTTTGTCATTTACAGTGCATCTGTAGATTTAGGCTTTATCACCCGTCTCTTACCTTGCAGCAGCCTTGTTAACTTTGAGTCTCTGTAGGGGACAAAGCCACCCTTTTTATTTTCATCCCCAAGAGCACTAATTACGTTCCCCAGGCAGAGGAGACCTCTGTTGATGTTGATGCCTGCGTACAAACAGATAACAGTGAGTACAGCCACCTCAATAACTAGGAACTGGTTATTTCTGTCCTTATTAAAAATTTTAAGATTAAAAAAGCACCTTATAAAGGTTAAAGAACTACTTTGCTTTTCCTGACAAGGACTCAACTGATTACCTCAAAAGTGATAAGAAACCCACGCCATACCAGTCCTTTTCCTACAGACCTTCTTTTAGTCTGTCTCCCTCAGCCTTGGTCTTCTTTTGCCTCTCAGAGCCAGCAAGATCAACCAGGTGTAGCTTGGAGCGATAACTGCTGTTCCTGTGGCAGAAAAACTATTTTACTCTCCCAAATAAACATGCAGTTAGGAAAGGAGCAGTCAGTGGTTACTACAGATGAGCTACTGGGCTGAAAAATATACTTCATATCAGAGACAGCCAGATAAAGGACTGCCTCAAGAGTAGCTCAGCTGAGTTGATCCCAGACCAAGAAAGAATGACAGGACTATGAAATTTTGAGGAAGCCTGAGCCCCAAAAGTTGCCAGGAGTGGCTGCACGATCACACTTACTTGTCATTTTTCTTTTTCTGATCAATGCAAATGGTGAAGATGGCATGGGACCGTGAGGACTGGGAGTTCATTGCCGTGGAGGCCACTGTTCTGGAGTTGTTCCCTTGCTCTAGGCAGGAGACAGTATCTTGGGCACAGGTGACATTTCTTTCTGTTAACCCTATAATCTGTATCCAGGAGGAAAGCATCATTTATCCTCTCCCACTTCACCCCGACATACATCAGAGAAATTGCTGTAGTCTGACAGAAGATAAAGTGATGGCTCTGCGTAAATACGCACTCACAGGAATCAGTCTCACTTCAAGCCAGAGGCGTCCTACCGAGTAGGAAGGACTGATTGTGCTTCTTGGCAAGTTTGTACTTTCCCTGAAGGGCCAATGCCACTATAACACAAGGATGAGTCACACCCTGGGACTTTAGAGATGACAGCGAGCAGCACAAGATTACACCCAACAAAACCATTAATGGATGAAAGCTACAGGTGTCACGCACAGCTAAACTGTGTGTATGACAACCAACAACCCACCCACTACCGCAAGCTGAAACCTTAAGAATGAAGCACGACCGATGGACAGAAGCTGAACTATAAGACAGAGCAAGCAGCAGCACGCAGTTTTTCTGCGCTACGCTCTAAGTGCACATCTGTACAAAACTGCTAAGGAAATATCTTGGGCACTTAAAATAACTTCCCCACGGGATCCCTTTGTGGCGTGCTACTTCAGCCAAACTGATGAGTACAATTGCAACAGAGTTTGAAATTTGGTGAAGGCACCCAAAGTACAACGTTCTCAGATATTCACCTAAATCAGCCTTCGGAACAAGCCAGAGTAGGACTTGCAGGTGGTTTTGTCATGAATGTCTGACCCTATTGGCGTTATTCTGAGCAAACTTAAGGATCCTCAACAGCTCAGTTTTGAGAGGAACGAGTAGTTGCAATGATTTCACATGCACTAATAGAAAGCAGTGCTCCGGGAGTCAGACAGTTGTTTCACCAAAACATTCATCCCTAGCCACATCACCCTCTCACATACTTATATCTAACAGGGCAACAGACCTTTATGCCTTCTTTTGGATCCTCCCGTATACTGATTTGAGAAGACCGTTCTTTTGACGGGCACAGCAGGTCGAGAATATCCTCATTGTAGATCTGAAAGCATCAGGACAGCAGTTCAGAGTTAGCAGCCTTGCAAGAGAACAATTCACACGAAGAGGGACAGTCATGCTGAAATCATGGCGAACTTTGCATGATTCATTTCACCCTTAGATACCCAAGACTCAGAATCGCATTCCTGACAAGACCTTATATAGTCTTCAGTACTGATTTAATAAAAATACCTACTACTTGAAGGAGGTGACCTCATTAAAACTTAACTTTCTCTCTAATTTATAACTTTACAATAGTCTGCAACTCAAAACAACTTTTACCTCTAGATAAGAAACTTTGAGGATGAATTCCCAATCCTGCCTTTGCTCCTTCTCCTTGAATAGCAGTTTGATTACCCGAGGGATGACTCCAACGCTAGGCTCATGCTCTTGATTGGCAGTGTAGGTACCTCCCATAGAATACGTTTTTCCAGATCCTGTCTGTCCATAGGCCAAGACAGTAGCATTATACCCTGGGGGAACAAAGGGCGTCCGCATCAGACAGTCACGTGGGAACCAGAAGAAACTGTGATGGACAAAGCTACATTCTAGTAAAAGCATCCTTCCAGAAAAGCACTGCCCCTCGCTGTTGGTTTACACAAGATTTATGCACAGTTAGTTACATCAAGGGGGAAAAAAGTCAATTAAAAGCTCCCCAAAGCACAAATAAAATTATTATTCCAGCTCTCTTAAGACTGCGGTGTTGCTTCACTACAGCTAGTCATAGAAACAGTGCAAGTCTCCGCCACCTCAGCTCCACTGTAGCATCCCTAACAGCTTCTGGTATGGGATGTTTATCAATTCATCACATTATTCTTGATAAATTTCTCTTGCCTTACATCAATAGTTTCAGGAACCAAAATGACCCAAAAGGACACACGAAATCACTTTGTTAACCCTGTGAAGTGCAACAGGTTGTAAACAGGTAAGATTTGGCACATCTCACTAGAGGTTGGAGTCAGTATCTAGATAGCGCAGGGTTTTATTTTCTGAGAAGATCAAAGAAAACGCGAGTCACAACAGAGAATTAAACAGCACCTTCCTCCACACAGCTAAGCCCACCAAAACCCCCAGTATCTTAAAGCAGAGCTCGACCTCAGTTACCACAAACCTTTGAAGATGCCTCGTATGAGAGGGCTGACAGCTGTGTTGAAGACTTCCTCTTGCTCAACAGAAGGGTCGAACACGTAGTCGTAAGTGAACGACTTATCGTTACCTACCACCACCTGCGGAGGAGACAGACAAGCAGGGCTGACTACGCCGCACCCGGCAGCACAGCCCGGGGCAGGGCGGGGGGAAGGCAGTGCAGACCCCCGGGCGCAGGGGGTTGTCTCCCTTACTTGCGGCTCCCCCGGGACGAAGGACAGGCACATCTGGCAGCCTTCGCTGGTCTCCTTCGGCACCAAGGGCCGGCAGCGCAACGCCACCCGTACCGGGATCACCTTATCATCTTCCCTCACCATTTTCAGTCCCCTGCGGAGGAGCAGAGCCGGCTGAGGCCTCGCAGGAGCAGCGCCCGCTGGGAGGTGCCGCTCCGGCAGGGCCCAGCGCCGCGGCCCACAACCCCCGCCCGGCACCCCAAGGCTTAGGCCGGGCCTAGGCCGCTACCAACCTCC